ATACATTATAAGCTTAGCAGAACAACATAACTCCACTTGAAGGTCAGATCAAAAGTAGGTTAAATAGTATGTCTTATTATGTGAAAATATGTTGGCATGTAAACAAAGTCGATAAATTAAGTATTTATGCTCTGATCAAGTTTTGTAATGTTTTAAATATATTTATGTAAATATAAATGCATAGTAATGAACGGTTACATTTTTACGAGTTTTATGTACATTTTACGAAAATCACTATAGCAGTGTATCGATGCACAATTTGTATTCAAAATTTTTGTGCATCGATGCACTGTTCATGGTATTATTCATTACTGTTCACGGTATTGTTCATACCATATAGTATTGTTCATACAATATAATATTGTTCATAAATACGTTTTTACCTTAAATTTTTATAATGAATCATAATTTAATAGTATATTATTGTATTTTCTTAATATGAGTTTAATTTTGATATTTTATAAGAATATTGTTTTAAAAAGTATATGTGACATCTCGGACCCGTATTCGGTTCGGGTACGGGTTGGGGTGTTACAGATCAGATCTTCTAAAGGCAGCTAGATCTCCTCAACATGTAGGAACGGACTGTCTGTCGCCTTTGAGTTTGTTTCTCTTGAAACAAATTTTGTCTCTCTTGAGAGATTTTCTCTTGAAACATAAACCTTTGAGATTGTTTCTCTTGAAACAAATTGTGTCTCGCTTGAGATAGTTTCTCTTGAAACATAAACCTTTGAGATTGTTTCTCTTGAAATAAATGTTGTCTCGCTTGAGACATTTGCTCTTGAAATATTAACATTTGAGATTATTATTCTTGAAATAAATTTTGTCTCATTTCAGAAAGTTTCTCTTGAAACATAAACCTTTGAGATTGTTTCTCTCGAAACAAAGTTTTGTCTCGCTTGAGACAGTTTCTCTTGAAACATAAACCTTTGAGATTGTTTCTCTCAAAATAAAGTTTTGTCCCTTTTGAGACAGTTTCTTTTGAAACATAAACCTTTGAGATTGTATCTCTTGAAACAAATTTTGTCTCGTTTGAGACAACTTCTCTTGAAACATAAACCTTTAAGATTGTTTCTCTTGAAACAAATTTCGTCTCGCTTGAGACAATTTTCCCTTGAAACACAAATTCTAAAATGTTTCACTCGAAACAAAATTTTATCTCACCTAAGATAGTTTCTCTTGAAACAAATTTCTTTCCACTCATTGATTTTCATTCAAATATTTAACATGAATTCAACATTGGCAAAGATTTTATTCCATAATTCCATGTTGGAAAAGAAAATTTCATTTCAAGCCAATCATTGGCAACCGACTAGATCTCCTTAACATTAAGGAGCAGTGTCAACCTTAGACAATCAGACTTCCTCATCACGTAGGAACCGTGTTGTCTTCAAGTTATCCCTATAGATGGTTTGACGTATTCATCACGTAGGAACAATGTCATCCACCCACCAGATCTCCTCAACACGTAGGAATAGTGTCATCCTCAGGCAATCAGACTTCCTCATCACGTAGGAATCGTGTAGTCTCCAAAGTATCCCTAAAGACGGCTAGACATCCTCATCACGTAAGAACAATGTCTTCCACCTACCAGATCTCCTCAACACGTAGAAGCATCGTCATCCTCAGATAACCAGACTTCCTAATCACGTAGGAACCATGTTGCCTCCAAATTATCCCTAAAGATGGCTAGTGTAATACCCCAAATATCGGGTTGGTGACTCTAATGAAAGGATTTAAAATTTTGGTGGGATAAATTGAGTAAATTGATAAGTATAGGGAATGATTTAGGAAGTTGTGTTTAAGATTAAATATTAAGAATGGAAGAATCGATGGGCAATTTAGTTCTTTAGAATGAATAAATTTAAAATTCATTTAAATAGGGTTATTTAATAAAAGTGAATAGGAAATAGGGGATAAGTTTGAAGTGGTTCTCTTCTTCTTCACCGTCTTATTCACGTCCCATGCCTCCCCCATAGTAAAGGTAAGGTTTCATCTAGTTAGTTTTTCCTTTTGGTTTTAGGTTGGTTTTAAAACCTTAAGTGTTATAGAGACTTAAGGAAAGTTCAAGGAGGATTAAAACTAAAAGATGAAAGATTTATTTGAGATTTAAGAAAATAGGTTTTAAAATGATTTGATGAGATTTGGTCTGATATTAAAGTTTAAAGGTATATTTGACTTGTCAATGAGGTAAATAAGAGATTTAGAGCTTTAGAAGTAATTAAAAACATGTTTGAGATTTGGGTATGCTTTTAGTTTTAAAGGGCTCTTTGGAGTTATTGGATATTATAGGGGGATTTATGGATATAAGACAGTTGGTTTGAATAATGATGAGTTTAAGATTATGTTTGGCGATAAAAGTAAGAGAGTTAGACGAAAATATGGTAAAAATCGAACTGAAATATGTAAAATATGGGTTTGGGTATCGGTACTGAAAGAATAATATCGATATTATAGGGTTAAAGTGGAGGAATGAGGATGAAATTGATGAACAGTATCGATACTGAAGTGGGGTATCGATACCAAGAGGAGGTATCGATACCATTATTGAAAAATGGATTCCAGAATGCAAAAATGGTATCGATACTGAAGGGAGTATCGGTACCATAGTATAGAAGTATCGATACCGTAGGATGGGCACCGATACTATTCAGCCTGGAATTCTATGTTAGGATAAACTTTATTAGAATTCATGAATAATAGTACTTTTAGTATTATTATTTCGTATAAATGTTAGGAAATATACTAAAATTTGTATTGTGTGTGTGTGAATATGGATGCTTGAGTAGATCGTAACCAAGCCCCTGAATCCAGCAAGCAAAAGGGCAAGGATAAAGTTGTCGAATAGTTGGTGAGACATACTAGGTGAGTGCATTTATTGTACTTATATGAGATGAGGATGACTTGCGATGAGTCAACCTCGAATGTTTGACTTAAAGGATGTTTTACAGTATTTCAATATGTTTTCATAATGTTTAAGGAATTGATACCAGAGTAATGATAGAGTATGAAATGCTCTAAAATGAATAGATGAACGTTTATGTTGTAAATCTGCTAAGTTGATTGAATAGCCCATTGTATGTCCATTGAGAGTCATATGTGCATTTCGACATACATTTTATGTATTGGTTATCGATCGATTTTGTGTAATGCATAACAGTGCATTTTTGTATCAGTAATGTGTGTACTTTTGGCACTAGACGTGCAATCATGGTATTCATAATGAGTTTGTGAATCACCATTTCGTTATACAATTATGTAGAAAAGTTATCGATCAATTTTGTTTAATGCATAACAGTGTATTTTCCTATCGGTACTTTGTGTACTTTTGGCACTATGTGTGCATTCATGATGAGTTTATGAATTTCCATTTCGGCACTTCGGTGCAATACATGTACATTGTATTCTCATTTGGCACACATTGGGAAAATAAAGAATAAATTGGAAAATATTGATTGATATGCATGTTGGGCATACTAAAGATGGTTTATCATTCTATTTGAATGAAGATTGGTTTGCCAAGACAATTTGATGTATTGATATGATTTATATGATTTTCATTCGTATTTTGATAATTTGTGATATACTTATATTTAAGTATAATTCATTTTGTATTACTATGCCTCACTAAGTAAATACTTAGCATGTGTTGATTTCACATGTATGAAGTAGCAAAGACTAGCAGAGTAAGAAGTGCAGTGGACATCATCAATCAAAGGTTGCCTCATCAGTAACTGTAGGACATTTATGTCTATTTTGATAATTAGCTGGCATGTATTTGGATTTAACAAAATGTTTTGGAATGTATTAAAGTTATAATTTTTGTAATATGTTACAACGAACGTTTTATTAATATTATATTAAAAATGTTTTTTTTTATTTTTGAAACAAATTTTTATGGCTTTACAAATAAGAAAATGTTTTTAAAAGTTATGTGACACATATGACTTGTGTATGGAAACATATCCAAGAAATGGGTGTTACATTTATTGGTATCAGAGCTATAGGTTTAGCCGATTCTCAGCCTAAACCTAGTGTATTTTGCTTTAAAAAATGTTTGCATACCACTAAGATATCAAGGTTACTGATATGGTATAGTTAAAATATGATTGGTGTCACTCCTTACTAACTTGAGTGTTATTATTATGTATGTTTTATTAGATGTCAAAATCCACAAATTCGCGGAGAGCGACTGATCAAGAGGATATAAAAGGGTCGGGTAATGAGAACTATGAAGCTAATAGTGAGCATTCGATCTCATCTGAGAACTCTAGCACACCGGCATATCAGGGTATGCACGTGCTAGAGTTTGTAGCTTTTATGCAAGCTCTCGATTCCATTTTGACTCGGTTTCAGCCTCCTCCGCCTCCCCCTACTTATCCAGCACTACGGATATTGATCTCAAAAGAGCTGAAAAGTTTGGGAGCTCTTGAGTTCATGGGAGAAGAGGATGAAGGTCTTGTAGATATTGATCTATGGTTAAACGATATTAAGTTGATGTTGGAGAGTCTTCACTGCTCGAATTCTGAAAAGCTAGGTGGAGCTGTATCTTTACTTCGAGGATCAGCCCGAGTGTGGTGGACCAATACTACTAAGTATGCACTACCAGATCAAGTGACCTATCAGTTTTTCCAGGAGGAATTTAAGAATAAGTACATCGGTGAGCAATTAAGACGGGTGATGCTGCTGAAGTTTCTCAACCTGAAACAAGGTGATCGAGTAGTACATGAGTACGAGGTTGAGTACAACAAGTTGAGTCGTTTTGGTACTGAGGTAGTTCCCAATGATAAAGTTCGACGTGATTGGTTCATCGAGGGTTTAAGGCCAAAGTTGAAAGAGATGATGTTTGCTTTTTAAACTTGTCTAGCCTACAAGAAGTTATAAATCATGCAAAGGCTATTAAAAAAGCCCAAGAGGATACTCTAGTAACAGAGCAAGGTATGCAGATGGTAAAAAGAGTTGAAACATCTTCAACTTCACATAATGCTAAGAGAGGCAAGGGTTTGAGTTCCCGATACAACAATAGAGATGGTTATGTTTCCGCTTCGCAGAAGAGTAAGCCATCACAGTCTTTTGTTGCTAGCTCGGGTCGAGCTTATGGAGAAATAAATACACCATGTCAAACATGTGGTAATTTTATCGTGGAGTATATAGATTTCTCAATTGAGCTTGTTTCCATTATGGTGAAACGAGTCATTATGCTCGAAATTGTCCTAATAAATTCAGGGGAAATTCAGTGCAAACTGAGAGATCTGTAGTAACCTCGAATAGAATCAGAGGAAGAGGTAGATCTAGAGGAAAATATGAGATAGCCCCGCAACCAGAGACTCGAGAAGTAGCTAGAATATATAATATTAAGACTAATGAAGATCAGGATGACCCGGAGATCATGACAGGTACATTTCATCTTTTTGATAAGCCTGTATTTGTTTTGGTTGACCCTAGTTCTACACACTCTTATATTAGTACAAAGTTGGTTAGAGCTAGAGGAATTCCTTTAGAACTAATTTTTAGTGAGATGATAGTGGTAAACCCCATGGGTCATAGTGCAAGAGTATCGCAGGTATGTAAAAAATCTCCGATAAAGATTTAAGGGATTGTGTTCCCGACAAACTTAATGGAATTGTCTTTCGATGAATTTGAAGTTATTTTAGACATGTATTGGTTGTCTTCTCATCATAGATGGGTTGATTGTCGCAAGAAGCGGTTATTCTTGAAGGATGCGGAAAACTCAGAAATAGTAGTAATCGACCAAAAAATGAAGTCACCATCCAATGTGATATCAACAATGATGATGGAGAAAATGATGTTGGAAGGATGTATAGCTTCTCTGGCTAACGTAATAGACACTCAAATATCGAAAGTGAGACTAGATGATATTCCAACAGTTAGAGAGTTTCCGAATGTTTTTCTGGAAGAGTTATCAGGATTACCTCCATATCGCGAGGTAGAATTCCAGATTGATGTTTACCCGGGTGCAGAACCTATTTCTATGGCTCCATATAGAATGGCTCCAATGGAATTAAGAGAACTAAAGGCCCAATTACAGGATCTGTTCGATAAGGGATTTATCAGACCCAGTATTTCTCTTTGGGGAGCACATGTGTTTTTTGTGAAAAAGAATGACGGGTCTATGTGATTATGTATAGATTATCGACAGTTAAATAAAATAACAATAAAGAAAAAGTATCCTCTTCTGAGGATTGGTGATTTGTTTAATCAACTGAAAAAAGTGGCAGTGTTCTCTAAGATAGACATGCGATTAGGATACCACCAATTACAGATTAAAGATGAGGATATATCAAAGACAACTTTTCTGACTCTGTATGGACATTACAAATTTGTGGTGATGCCATTCGGATTGACTAATGCTCCTGCAATATTTATGATTTGATGAACCAAGTATTCCAACCCTACCTGGATCATTTTGTGGTGGTATTTATCGATGATATTTTGGTGTATTCAAAGTTAAGTGATGAGCATGATGCTCATCTTCCGGTGGTTCTTCAGACTCTTCGAGAGAAGAAATTGTATGCCAAATTATCTAAGTGTGAATTCTGATTAGTTGAGGTTTCTTTCCTTGTCCATATAGTCTCCGCATAAGGCATAAGAGTAGATCCCAAAAAGATTCAAGCTATAGTGGATTGGCAACCCCCAAAGAATGTTTTGGAAGTTTAGAGTTTCTTGGGGCTTGCTGGTTATTATAGGCAGTTTGTGAAGAACTTTTCAATGTTAGCTTTGCCGCTAACTAAGTTGTTATGGAAATATATGCCATTTGTTTGGTTGGAGAAATGTCAAGAAAGTTTTGAAATATTAAAAAGGTTTGTAACAGAGGCGACAGTGCTTATACAATCTGAGTCGGGTAAAGACTATGTCATTTTCAGTGATGCATCCCATAATGGATTAGGGTGTGTGCTGATACAAGAAGGGAAAGTTGTGGCCTGCCTCGAGACAGCTGAAGACTCATGAGAAATTTCCCGATGCATGATATAGAATTGGTAGAGGTCGTGTTTGCTTTGAAAACTTGGTGTCATTATTTATATGGTGAGCGGTGCCACATTTATACATATCAAAAGAGTCTAAAGTGTTTGTTGACTCAAAAAGAACTGAACTTAAGGCAGAGAAGATGGATCGAACTTTTAAAAGATTATGATGTGATCATCGATTATCATCTAGGGAAAGCTAATGCGGTAGCTGATGCACTTAGCCGAAAGACTTTTGTAGCTTTACGGGCTTTAGACGCATGTATATCTTTAAAGGATGATGGCACATTAATTGATGAACTTAAGTTAAAGTCGATGCTCTTGAATCGAATAAAAGAGCTACAATGACAAGATGAAAAATGTTTGGTACGAATTGCACAAGTAAAAAAAAAAGTAAGACTAAAGATTTCGAAATGAGGACTGATGGATGTTTGTATTATCGTGGAAGGCTTTGCATTCCAGATAATGAAGAACTGAAAAAGGATATTCTTTCTGAGGCACATTATAGTCTTTTGATTATGCATCCAGGCGGGAATAAGATGTATCAGGATGTAAAGAGTCGTTATTGTGGTCTGACATGAAAAGAGTTGTATCAGAGTTTGTTGCAAGATGAATGACATGTCAGCAAGTGAAATATGAACATCAAGTGTCATCCGAATTGCTACAACCGATATCAATTCTCGAGTGGAAGTGGGAACAAGTTACAATGGATTTTGTTTCAGGGTTACTTTTGACCCCCAGTAAAAAGGACTCGATATGGTTAATTGTGGACAGATTGACCAAGACAGCTCACTTTATTCCAGTTCGGATAGATTACTCGATGGATAAATTTACGGAGTTGTACGTAAAAGAGATAGTTCGGCTACATGGAGTACCAATTTTGATAATATCCGACTGAGATCCCAGGTTTACTTTGAGATTCTAGAAATCCTTACACGAGGTATTGGGTACTCTATTGAATTTCAGTATGGCTTTTCATCCGCAGAAAGATGGGTAGTCAGAATGAATTATTCAGGTATTAGAGGATATGCTAAGGGCAAGCGTGATTGAATTCAATGGATAATGGAAAAGATATTTGCCTTTAGCAGACTTTGCTTATAATAACAGTTATCAATCAAGTATTAAGATGGCCCCGTATGAGACCTTGTATTGGAGAAAGTTCATAACACCATTAAATTAGTATGAGCTAAAAGATCGAGATCTAGTTAGGTCAGATCTAATTAAAGAAATGGAGGATAAAGTGGAAGTTATCCAAATAAATCTTAAGATGGCTTTCGATCAAAAAATATCTTATGTTGATCTAAAAAGAAAAGAGATTGAATATCATGTGAGGGATTAGGTATTTCTGAAAGTATCACCTTGGAAGAAAGTGTTTCGATTTGGGGGCAAAGGAAAGCTGAGTCCAAGATTTATTGGACCTTATGAAATTCTAAAAATGGTCGAACCTGTAGCTTATCAATTAGCTTTGCCTCTCGATATGGATAAGATCCACAATGTTTTTCATGTGTCGATGCTCAGGAAATACTGATCAGATCCATCGCATATCATCACACTAGAGGAAATCGAGATCTGACCTACGAGGAAGAACCAGTGCGGATCTTGGCTCGAGAAAACAAAAAATTACGTAAATAGAAGATTCCTCTAGTTAAAGTACTTTGGCAAAATTATAAAGTCAAGGAAGCTACTTGGGAAAGAGAGAACATGAGGAAGCAGTTTCCATGCCTCTTCGCATCATGTACGTCTTAAAATTTGATGACAAATTTTCTTAAGAGGGAGAATTGTAATACCCCAAATATCGGGTCAGTGACTATAATGAAAGGATTTAAAATTTTGGTGGGATAAATTGAGTAAATTGATAAGTATAGGGAATAATTTAGGAAGTTGTGTTTAAGACTAAATATTAAGAATGGAAGAATGGAGGGGCAATTTAGTCCTTTAGAATGAATGAATAGGAAATGAGGGATAAGTTTTAAGTGGTTCTCTTCTTTTTCTCCTTCTTCACATCCCGTGCCTCCCCCATAGAAAAGGTAAGGCTTCATCTAGTTAGTTTTTCCTTTTGGTTTTAGGTTGGTTTTGAAACCTTAAGTGTTATAGAGACTTAAGGAAAGTTCAAGGAGGATTAAAACTAAAAGATGAAGGATTTATTTGAGATTTAAGAAAATGGGTTTTGAAACTATTTGATGAGATTTGGTCTGATATTAAAGTTTAAGGTATATCTGACTTGCCAATGAGGTAAATAAGAGCTTTAGAGCTTTAGAAACAATTAAAACATGTTTGAGATTCGAGTATGATTTTAGTTTTAAAGGGCTCTGATATGATCTCGATTATATATTTCGAGTCATATATGTGAATGCCCGATCGTGATTCTAGTAAGAAACCCCGTAATGATAGTTTGAACTATAAAATTGTATAAATATAAACATAAAAAGGAAATGATATAAAATAATAATTGAAACGATGGAATGAAAAGAATGAGGAAGTTGTTTGAAGGAGATGGAAGAGTGATGGTTGTTGTGGTTTAATGATAATGAAAATAGATTGTGAAATATGAATGGCATTCTCGTGGCAAATGGTTTTGTCGTGGTAAGTGTTGTAAGGTTAAAGCAGATTGTGACCCGTTAGCTATTTGGAGCTAAAAACCAACAATATAAAAAGATAGAATCGAAATCGTAGGGTATGGAGCGTGACCCACTAGCTATAGATGAGCTAGGAACCAATGCTATAACAAAAGGAAACGAATGAAGACTACAAGACTATCTTGAAGCCAATAAAGTTCTACAAGAGAACAAGAATGAAAGCAACCTCTCAAAGATGTTTTATATATTCAAAATGTGTCTCTACAAATGATCTCAAAGGTGCCTATTTATAGTGTTTCTAAGAAGCATATGAAAATACTCAAAAGATGAAAACATTCTCATCAATTTAGTAATAAAATGCACTTGAATGCTTTGTCTTCTTATCTTCAAGGTTGGCTGAATATTCTAGATCATTTTGGGGATGAATCTAGACAATTTGAAGCTGAATTTGACCTTAATTTCGTCCAATGGGTGGAAGACTCTTTCTATTTCATGCTAAAAATCGTCTTAACAAGTGAATTAAATCACCCTTCATTGCATGCTCTCTTGAAGAATATGAACAACCCTTGAATTTAAATGATAAAAATCAGCTTAGAATACCTTGAATGGGTGAATTAAGAGTCCTTCAATGGCTTGTCACTTGGATGAAGTTGAAAATACTCTCCCTTGGCTCAAACTCTTCCAAATCATCCATGCATAAAATTTCCGTAACAAATACAGCATGCACTATCTTCAATAAATCAATCATATCTCAAGCTTCCGCTATCGGATTAAGGTGATTCAAAAGGCGTTAGAAAGCTAAGAGATAGAGAAATAATTTCCAATTGATTTCTAGAACCAAACATATCTGTATCGTATCCAGAATTGGAAGACATTCTAACTGACATTCTTGCATATGATGAAACCATTCAACTTCTCTCATGCACCTAGACACAAAGGTGAACTTTATTCAATATTTAATTGAAAACATGCATGAAACAATTAAGAGTTAATTTAATAAACGAACTAGTTTAATTAATGAACTACTTCCCTAAATAAACTAGATTATTTAAATGCAATGCATGCTTGAATGAACAACACACTTATTAAAGGAAATGAATGTTATGCAAACTTTAAATTCTCATACAAATTCATGCATAAGCAATGCAAAATGTTCCTCCCTTATTATTATGCCTTCATCACATTCCAAACTTGATGTAAACATACTCTCCATAGCTGCTTGAAACTCCTTAGCCCTTGCTCATGTGATGGGGCCACTTGGATACTTCTCCGAGTCTTTGCTATTGGCGATCATATCAGTCTCTCCCTATTTACGGTGATTTGTCCCCAAATTGTTACCTATATCATAAAGAGAAAAGTCAGCAACATTGAAGGTTGCACTGACATTAAACTCACCTAAAAGATCTAATTGATAGGCGTCGTCATTGATCTTCTTGACTATTTGGAATGGTTCATCTCCCTGAGGCATTAATTTGGATTTTTGTTGAGCTGAAAACCTTTTTGTCCTTATGTGCAGCCACACCCAATCCCCTGGCTCAAAAGTAATTCGCTTATGACCCTTATTTGCTTACTGCTCGTATTACTTAGTTCACTTTTCAATGTTCTCCCTCACTTGTTGATGAAGCTTCTTAACAAACTCAGCTTTGTTAAGTCCATCTTTATTCACAATTTGATCAGCGGGTAATGGTAACAAGTCTATCGGTGTTAACAGATTGAACCCATACACCACTTCGAAAGGCGTACGGCCCGTAGTAGTATGGATTGAACGATTGTATGCAAACTCCACATGTGGTAAACTTTCCTCTTATGATCTCAAATTCTTCTGAATGATGGATTGAAATAACATGGAAAGTACTTGATTCACCATTTCAATTTGACCATACGTTTGAGGGTGGCAAGTAGTGGAGAATAGTAGCTTAGTACCAATATTACTCCATAGAGCTCGCCAAAAGTGGCTTAAGAACTTCACATCCCGATCAAACACAGTAGTTCTGGGTATACCATGTAGACTTAAAATTTCCCTGAAAAATAAAGTAGCAATATGTGAGGCATCATTAGTTTTGTCACAGGGAATGAAATGAACCATTTTAGAAAATCTATCAACAACTACAAAGATGGAGTCTTTGTTGTTTTTGTGCGTGGAATCCCTAGCACAAAATCCATTGAAATATCCATCAATGGTGCTTCCAGTATGGGTAGTGGTGTGTAAAGTCCATGTGGCATGACTTTAGATTTGACCTTCCTACAAGTAATGCAACGCTCACATAACCTTTCAACATCTCGTTTCATTTTGGACCAATATAGATGTTCTTGAAGTATAGCCAAAGTCTTTGATATCCCAAAATGTCCCATTAATCCTCCTCCATGAGCTTCCTTAGTGATCAATTCTCGCATGGAACCTTGAGGGACGTATAGTATCCCTTACTTGAATAGAAAACCACCATGATTAAAGTATTTATCAATCATCTCTTTCTCACAAGCTTTGTAAATTTCCCTAAAATCAGAGTCAAGAACATATAAGTCTTTAATAAAAGTAAAACCCAACAACAAGAACATACCTTCGTGACAATGCATCAACAACTATATTCTCCTTACATTTCTTGCACTTGATAACATATGGAAAAGTTTCAAGAAACTTTACCCATTTTCCATGCCTTTTGTTGAGTTTATATTGCCCCCGAATATATTTCAATGCCTCATGATCGGTGTGAATGATGAACTCCTTAGGCCAAAAGTAGTGTTGCAATGTTTCCATTGCCCTTACAAGAGCATACATCTCTTTGTTGTAGGTAGGATAGTTAAGCATGGCTCCACTTAATTTCTCACTAAAATAGGCTATAGGACAACCACCTGGAGACAAGACTGCTTCAATTCCTACACCTGATGCATCACATTCAATTTTAAAAGTTAAATTAAAATCAGGTATAGTAAGTAAAGGGGCATGAATTAAACAGTCTTTAATGCTATTAAAGGACTTCTCTTGATCTTCCCCCAAAAGAATTTAGAATTCTTCTTAATAACACTTGTTAGTGGGGTGGTTATTGTGTTGATGTTTGGGACGAATTGTAACATCCTCAATATCGGGTTAGTGACCAAATTGTAAAGTTTCAGAAATTGGTGATTAAAGTAGGATAATTAAATAGTTCAATGATTTATTAGAAATATGATGAAGGTTATTTACTAATTATTGAATGAATTAAAGGGTAAAATGGTCAATTGACAAGTAAGATTTTTATATTCCTTTTATAAGATAAGGAACCACGTGAGAAATGAGAGAATTATCCAGAGTTTTCTTTCTTCTTCTTCCTCCTCCTGTATCTCCAAGCTCAAAGATATCGAACACGAACAAGTTCCGGTATGATCATCAAGTTAAGATTTGATCGAAAAAAAGGAAATCATAAAAGGGGATCAAAACTTAGTGAGGCCAAGGTGAGTGCAATTTAAATTGTACTTATGTTATTGTAGGTGTGACATGATTTGTATGAGTATATGCTAGTGTGATTGTGAATAGGTAGAAAGGAAACAAGAGATGATATAAGAATCTATTATAAGATATATGATATGAAAATATGATAGTGAGCTACGTGAAAGAACTATGAAATATATGAGCTTATAGGTGCTATGTGATTTATATATATGTTTATGTGTAACCATGCAAAGTGATACAAGCTATGTGAACATAAGTGACATGAATTACATGAAAGTAAACTACGTGATTATATGCACAAATGATATGTGACAGAAAAGGAGAAATATGGGATTAAAAGAGAGATGATATGAATAAGTGATGTGAATATAAGTAAAC